AAAGTTATACAAGTGTTCAGGTCTTTCGTTCACAGGGTCGCTATGAGTAGTTTATGACTCGACAGCACTTAACAACAACATCTTGTCTTAATTGCATCCAGTTATTTCCAGATTGGTTCTGATTTCAATTTGTATTGTTATTTCCCTAGTAAACCACGTAATTGTAAATAAATATGATCTGTGAATTCTTTGTGGCCATTGCATCTAATTATCAAATCCAGCAAAGAATTAGAATGCTGTGGGGAAGAATTGGTAAAAATGATGGAGAGCGGAGATAATAGCTGATGTGTACACCTTTTTAAGAAACAGGTTTTTTTAAAAAAAAAACAATCAGTTTTGTGCTGCTGCTGTTTCTCACTCCTCATGAATTTAGATAGCTTAAGGTTGTTGTTGTTATATGCCTTTGGGTTGAGTATGACTCATAGTGACCCTATGAACCTTCTCCTGTCCTGTGCCATCCTCATTATCTTGGACAGAGTTGAGCCCATTGCTGTAGTCATTGTGTCCTCGCTTTTGCTGACTCTTCACCTTTCCACACAATGTGGAATTTTCCATATTCCAAATTTCCAAGGAATAACCTCTCATAACAACTGTGAGTCCCTGTTTGTAGGAAAATAAGAGACCTGTTACAGATTTCCTTCTTTACCTGCACTTTTTTCCTTTTCCTATATTTTATTTTTCCAGATCTTATTTAATGCTCTATTTTACCTTATCTTGGGTTTTTTCCACTTTAAAAAAATCCCATCTTTTTTGTGATTTATATTTGCTTGTGAAAATATAAGACATAGGTAAAGATAGGAGAACATCAAGAACTGTTCAAATGTGACCATGATTAACATTTTCGTGTATGTGTTTTCAAAAAGAGATCTATGTGATGTACCTCAAGTTACATCAAATTAAAAAAAAATTACTGTATTTTTGGTGAAGGTATGTGTAAGTAATTCAGGTTTCTGTTGAACAGTTTTGGTCAGTGACATTGATTAATGTTTCCTGTTTCTATTCTGGTGGTTTTACAGCCATCAGTCTAGTTTCCTTGCCCCCTTACATTCTCATCTTAATGTAATGGTTGACCATTGGATCTCATATAGGTGATTTTTAAGACATACAGTGCTTAGGAGTGATATGTTATATTTTTTTCTATTGATTTATTTCTTTTTTTCTTGTGTGCCATTGAATCAGATCCAACTAGCACAGGAGGATATTGCCCCTCCTCCAGCGGAGCATCTGGTGGATTTGAACCGTACATTTTTGGGATCGCAGTGTAGTTTCTTGCCACTAGGACACCTAAGCTCCCTTACATGTGATTTTTTTTTAGCCAATATGTTATTTAGTACAAGGCAACTTTAAGGGTTAGTGTCAGTTCAACGTTTAAAGAGTAATCCTTCAATCTCAATCCCTCCAGTGGCTCTTTTGTATGTTTCATTTTTTCTGAAATATAAGTTCTTTTATAAATTTTCCTTTCATTCTGTCAGGGTTCATTTATTGTGGCCTGTTGTTGTTATGTGCCATCGAGTCATTTGTGACTCATAGCGACCCTATGTACAAGAGCCCTAAACGCCATTCTATCCTGTGCCAACCTCGCTGTCTCAAACACACTCATTCCCACCACTCCACTCACAGAATCGATCCATCTCATCGAGGGTCTTCCTCTCCTTTGCTTTCCCTTCACTCTGCCAAACATGATGTCCCTCTCCAAGGACCAGTCCCTCCTTGCAACATGCCCAAAGTATGTCATATGAAGCTTCAGAATCCTTGACTCCAGGGAACACTCTGGCTTCACCCTCTCCAGGACAAACCTGTTTGTTCTCCTAGCAGTCCATGGTATATTCAACATTCTTCTCCAGCACCACAGCTCAAAGGCATCAATTCTCTTTCTTTCATCCCTATTCACTGTCCAACTCTCCGATGTATAGCACCTAATTGCAAAACTATAGCCTGGATCAGGCGCAGATTACAATATTACAATGGTTAGTAGTGGTAGCTGAGCACTATTTAGTTCTTCTGGTTGCAAAATAGATAGTGAAGTCATGGTTCATATAGACTATTTGTCTTGTAGACTAGTTTCTTCTTTTATTAATTAATTTTCTATGTTTGCTTCAAAAGAGTAGAGATCAATAGTTGTATCTCAGATGGTTACTTGTAAGCTTTTTTTCATTTTTAATTTTTTTAAAAAATTTTCATTCCTGCATCATTGTTTTTGTTGTGTACCGTAGAGTTGGAACCGACCCATAGCTGACCCTCCGGCAGGTTTTCAGAGACATCAGTTAATTGCAGAGATTTCAGTTAATCGCACAGGAGGAGATTGTCCATTTTTCTCTTGCAGAGCAGCTGGTGGCCTCGAACCACATGCCTTTGGGATTGCAGCGCAGCTTCTTGTCAGTAGGCCTCCACTCCCCAAACTGAGATGTAGAACATAGTCTTCCTCCAGTCCTGATGCTACCCTCCTCTTCATAGAGTCCAGCTTCTTGGATAATTTGCTCAGCATACAGATTGAATAGATACGGAGAGAGAATACAACCCTGGTGTACTCCTTTCTCAATTTTAAACCATGCAGTGTTCCCCTGTTCTGTTTATACAACAGCTTCCTGGTCCAGGTATAGGTTCCACATGAGCACAGTTAAATGCTCTGGGATTCCCATCATGTTGCCACACCATTCATCTCAATGTCATCCACAACTTGTTACGATCCACACAGTCAAAGGCCTTTGCATATATGTTATCATGAATGCTAGCAAGATAGAAAACCACTGTCTTATGAATGTGTCTGTTTGTGTGCACATGCAAAATCTTAATCCTTCCACTGATACCTCCTTCCGACAAAGTTGTGGTTATGTAAACAGGGAAGTAGGCAAATAAGAAAAGAAACAGTAAAAAACACCATGGAGCCCGGTTAACATGTTTTACTATTTATGTAATGAGACTTTTCTCAATATGAGGATGTACAGGTCAGGAGGACACTCAACTCCAAGTTCCTTCCCCTCTTCCCTTTTGAAAGTCTTGAGTAATTCATTCCGCCACCCAGCACTTTCCTGCGGGTCAGAGGAGTGCAGCAGGTTTCATTGTTCAGTGTTCGGCTTGCTTGTAGCAGATGATGCCAAGTTTTTCATGGCATGTCCTTGCATAATGATTTTTCCCTAGGAATCCTTGGCTCTGAGTGACTTCGTAATAAATTCATTGTAACTCTGTGTAGGGGCCATGCTAATCTTCTCTGTATTGTTCCAATTTTAGTATATGTGCTGCAGAAGCGAGCACGCTACTTGTAACTCTGTAGTTTTGATGTCTGCTGTTCTTGATAGCTTTGGGGCTTTGACTACTCTCCCTAGTGGAGCAGAGTTGGAACTGGCTTAGTGGTAATGACTTTTAATTCTTCTCATCAGGATGCCTCTTTGACTCCTAAAAATTAAGGGATATGAGAACCCTCAAAATTCAAATGCTGTTTTCTGTCATTGTTCATATAGAGGGATGGAACTCCTAATTTTTCAGAGAGTCTGAGGATTTCATAGAACAGAGAATATAATAAAATAGAATTCCTTACCTTATAAAAACCTGTTTTATTGTTAATGCTATTTAAATATAATTGATATGATAATACATTATAACTTAAGAGGACAATGGCTCGGTGATAAAATTAATTTTCTTCTGTGTTTGGAACCTGGGTTTGATTCCTGGCCAGTGCACCTTACGCACAGCAGCACCACACGCCCGTCAGTGGATGCTTGTGTGTTGCTACGATGCTGAACAACTTTCAGCCTATGTCAGACTCATCTTAGCATCTGCTTCTGAAAATTGGACAGTTAAAACCTGGTGGATCACTTCCTTACTGGCCTTATGAGGTGGCGGGGCAGTTCCCTGGCCGAGGCCTTTAGCGCTGGGCCACGAGCCATTTCTAGACAGGGCATCTTCTATCGCAGCCTCCCACCCCAGCCTTCTTGACCTTTAGAGCCTGGCCTCATGTTGGCAGCTGTTAACAAAGGGAATTTGCCCCACATCCCCCACATCTGGTGCTGTCCTCAGTCCACCAGCAGCTGGTCATTCTCTTCCAGGCTGGCTGCGGGTCCCTGCTTTCCTGACCTTCCAGGGGCCAGGGCTGGGCCCTTTATTTGGGAACCCCTGCCCTCCATCCTGCCAGGCGCTTTGCCTGCCCCGCCCTTTGTCTGTGAACTGCCCTCTCCAAGACTCCCCAAACTACGTATTTCTTGCCCTGAGGAGAGAGGGGTCACTGACTGCCAGGGCCCATGCCCTCTCTACCCCCTCTTCTACCACCTCCACCACCAGACTAGCTTTCCAAGGTGAACTTCACAGGCCAGCCTGCTCCCATTCTCCATTGCCGTCCCCCCAGCCATTTTGTACCATTATATAAATATATATATATAAATATAAATATATAAATACGATATGTGAAGACATCTTCTTGGTTTTTATTTTGAAACAATTTTTAGGCTTGTTCTGGGGGTCTCTGTGCTGCCTGTACTGTATTGACCTGTTTTATAGGTGCCTTTTTATTAAAAAGAAAACTCTAAATTTAAAAAAACAAAACAAACCTGGTGGATCAGAACAGTCTGATCTGGACCTGATTATATTGATGGCAGTATTTTTTTTTCCATTGTATATGGGTTACTCAGACTGACTTGAGGGCAGCTAATAAAGACATATAATTTATACTGTAAGGGAAAAGAAGCTTGTGCTATTTCTGTCAACATTTAATAGTTACTTTTATTTTGCAATTTCTAAAAGTTTGATAACATTATTTTTTGTTCTCTTTAAGTTAAAAACCAATTGATAACAGGACATTATGTTACTGAATTTTTCCAGGAGCAGATGAGAGGGGAAGGATGCACAGAATGGAATGAATATATCTCTTATGCTCTAGATCTTTGGTTTCATCTCATAATTTTGGACCCTATTTAAGATTAAGGAAGAAGAACTATGTTGACTTTTTATTTTACCCTAATCTGTTGCAGTTGGTAATCTATTTTTTTTTCTTTATCTTCCCCCTTTGAAGGAGTTATCTGAAGAAAAATGTCTTTCTTAAACCAACTTGCATCTCTGTTCTACACAAAAGAACCTGACACTACCAGGAAAGAAGCAAATTAAAAGGAAAGCCAGCCCATCTGCAGTTCAGAAAAACAAAAACATGGAGTTTTGAGAAGTGAAGGGTAGCATGGTGTCGGCCATGGGTGATCAGGACACAGCCAGACAATGTGGACCAATTTCTTCAAACTACGTCTTTTCTGCTGTCTGCTTGCAGTGTTGATGGTGGTGGTGCTGGTCGTCAATGTTACTCAGGTAGAGGTGAGTCTTAACTGGGGAACTGTTGGTCATCAGGAAACTTACCGTGCCCACAGTTCTTATTTTCATTTATTTAATAAGTATTAAAATATGATTCTATACCATCCGCATAATCTCCAGCAGGCTCAACCCTGTTACAGTCACTGTGTCAATCCATCTTATTGAGGGTCTTCCTCTCTTCCTCTGACCGGCTATGTTTGCTAGTCTTTTCCCAAGGACTAGCACCTCCTGACAACTTGCCCAAAGTATCTGAGCTAAAGCTTTACCCTCCTTGTCACTAAGGAGCACCTGGTTGCACTTTTGCTAAAACAACTTTGTTTGATCTTTTGGCAGTCCATTGCATAATCAATACTCTTTACCATCCCAGTAATTCAAAGGCATACTTTTTTTTTTAAATTTTTATTGTATTATTTTTATGTGTACCGTTAAATCAGATCTGACTGGTACAGGAGGAGATTGCCCCCTCCTTCTCCAGCAGAGCATCTGGTGGATTTGAACTGCGTACCTCTGGGATTGCAGTGCAGCGTCTTGCCACTCGGCCACCAGAGCTCCCTGGCATACATATTTTTTAAATTATTTTTTTTTATTCATTGTTGAACACTTTCTTCCCTTCCTCCCTCCCCCTCCCCCAGCCCACCCTGCAGTGCATCCCTGGTTCCAGATCATTGTCCTGCATATAATGCCTAATCATGTATTCCTTTTGGACAGTTTTCCCCCTCACCTTTTCTACTGCCATGTCTGTTATTTATTCACTCTCTTCCCATTCTATCCCCTATCCCCCCCACCATCCTCTTTTATAACAGTGGTATTATACAGTATTTGTCCTTTTGTGACAGAAATTTCACTCAACATAATGTCCTTATGTTTTACTAATTCATTTTTCAGTGCTGTATAATCAGTTGTTTGAATGTACTGTAGTTTTTATGCCCATTCATTTGTTGATGGGCACTTGGGTCGTTTCCAGCTCTTTGCTATTGTGAATAATGGACCAATAAACATGGGTGTACATGTATCTGTTTGAGTGGTGGCTCTGATTTCTTTAGGGTATATTCCCAGGAGTGGAAATGCTGAGTCAAATGGTATTTCTGTTTCCAACATTTTGAGAAAGTGATGCATACAGCTTTTTGTGTGTCATTTTATGCCGAGGTAATACTAATCTTCTCTGTATCATTACAGTTTTAGTATATGTGCTGCTGAAGTGAGTTCAGCATACTTTTTTTTTTTTTTAGTATATGTGCTGCCGAAGCGAGCACAGCATACATTTTTTTATTATTATTATTAAATTTTATTAGTTTCAATGAGTACTCACAGGGATTCTGGGCTTTCACTCCTTCATTGCC